CAGGAGGAGAGCATCCGCCGGCACCAGATCAACATCTACCTGAGCGACCGCATCTCGCTGCACCGCCGCCTGCCCGAGCGCTGGCACCCGCAGTGAGTAGAGTACCGCCGAGGGCAGGTGGGGCCGGGGCACAGGAGCCGTGCCTGCCGCTCCGCCAAACCGGAGTGTCTGCTGGCAGCGGCCAGCGCGGTGTGGTCGTGTTTCTCTCGAGTACTTCTCGCTCAGGAGCGTGGAGGCTTTTGGAAACTTTCCCATCGCAAACGCTCTTGGATCACAGCGCTCGCTCTCAGTGTCAAGTCGATTGGTGACTTTTCCAGGCTGCCGCACCTACACGAGGCAGCACAAAGTCGCGTGTTGGTGGTGCGTGTGCAGGTTGTTTTCCCACGTAACCCTGTCAGTGTGTTTTCAGTCTTCAAGCTACGCTGCTCTGCCGTGTTTCTCCTGCTGCTGTCCCCTCCTGCTGCTGCTGTCCCCTGGGTAAGTCACCATGGGCAGCAGCATACTTTTTCAGTCACTCCCAGCTTCACAAATGTTACGCTTCCCAGACTTCAGCTGTGCATTGTATTCAAATGTCTGAAGTGACACAGTTTAAAGGAGATTGTTTTATTGGCAGTTTTACCAGGAGTGAGCTAGAAATGGTGCTCGCAGAGGTGGGTAATGGTATTCTGAAGAGGGACTGTGCTTGTTCTGGGATGCAGAGTTGCTGGGACAAGTTGCATTAACAAGTTACGTTTACAGTTATGACACCAGTGGCAGATAATGGCATAGGCAATTGTAAACAAGGGGTGAGATAGTGTTCGATGAGGTGGCTCTAGTTTACAGGCTAGTTCAGTGCGGCTGTGAAGCCAGCGTGGCACAAGAGGTCTGGCTATTCTATTCTGCCCTTATGCAAATAGTCAGTGTGGCAGCGTCTTGGGCTCTCCTGTGAGTGAGCTGCCGGCTGCTGAGAGGAAGGGCTAGCCGATTAAGGGGATATGCTAGCCATCACAGGCGATGGGATGGAGCCACGGCTGCTACTGACTCCTCACAGCCCTCGCTTCTGTTACACTTCAGCTTGGCTTCAGCTGCTTTGTTTCCTTGCGACAGGTACTGGTAACTGGTACAAGGTTTGTACGATGTGGTAGCAAAAAGCTGTGGAAAAAGCAGGGCTCTGGCTCTCCCGTGAGTTCACTTCGCCCCTGTGTGTCCTGCCCAATGTTTCACCAACTCTAATTGTAAGTGCTGAATCTAAAATATGAATCTTATGATGGCTTTAAAAAAGTTGCAGTGCAAATGCAAGGCCTTTTCATCATAAGTTTAAGCCTGACACTAGGCTTGTTTTACTTAGTTATTATTCCCCTTTTATAAGCAGTCTGTAGACCATAGGTCAAAAAGGACCATTTTAGTTTCATTTCCATGGGAAGAATTAAATCATTTCAATGAGTTATTTTGGACTTCTGCCATTTCTCTATGACAGGATGTTAGAATAAATGGAAGGTCACAGTTGTTGAATAGGACACATTATAGATGGGTGTGGGTGACTATTCTAGAAATGAAAATAATTTAAATAGATTTTGCTACGACAGCAGACCCTTTTTGATTTGAATATATGGATGCTGAAATGACAAAATATATCCAAACCAAAAGAATCACAGAAGCATCAGTGACATAATCACAGAGATAATTGCCTTCTGAAGCTGGGGCTGTATTGTACTGTTGGCAGGTGTTTCATGCCTTTGTGCACAGTTAAATCTAAATTATAGCAAAAATGTCACAGACCATCTCTCCAACTCACTCAGGAAATGTAAAAAACTTTCCCAAAGGCAATTTTGCAATGAAGTATTAACTCCTTCCCTCAAGAAGGAGGACCATGTAAAAGATTAAAGTTAAAAAAAAAAATAAAAAATTGAAAAATGTTATCACCAAGCCCATAGCCGTAGAAGATGTATTGTACTTTATTCCAAGATTAGAGGTTCTACAGTTTGAAATCTCAAGTCTAGGGATTTTATTTTATTTTATTTTATTTTATTTTATTTTATTTTATTTTATTTTATTTTATTTTATTTTATTTTATTTTCTATAGTGCTTGACTATTTATGACCTTTAATGAACATTTTGGTGATGAGTGAGGCTACAGTGATGGGAAATAAGTCATAATGGTAGATGCCAACTAGGCTTCAGCAGTCCACCAAAATGATACAAAAGCTAAATTTTAGATGTAATCAGTGAAACAACTTTGGTACCAGAAGGTGACAAATACACCATTTTTTTAGTGGAGTCCTAGAAGAGAACCAGAGAAGTGTGTGCTGGCAAGGCTTGGATCTTTTCCAGGCATGTTATCTACAAACTGTGGTAAGGGAAAGAATTAGTAACAGATGGGAGGGTGTGATCTATTGAGAAAGTCAACAAGGTTTTTGTCAAGGATGACGTGTATCACATATCCGAGTTCTTTGAAGGTTGTAATTACATGGATAAAGAAGTGTGTTGTTGATGAGTTCCTTAACTGTGAAATAATGTGGAAACTCCTTGCATTTATAAATAACTGAGTAGAAGCTGTGAAGCACTTGTTTTGGGGTTTTTTGATGGTTTTCGCTGGTTTGTTTCAGTTTTTCTGTTTGGTTGGTTTTGTTTTTTGTTTTAAGGTGTGAAGAGTTACTGATAAAGTCCCACAGAAATCTGTGTTGGATGCTGTTCAATTTACAGTGTGGCTTACATGAAGAAGTGACTAATTTACAGGTCTTCAGCCTGAAAGAAAGGTGGCCTGCTGGCAGTGTACCACCTGCAGGGCTGCTTCAATACATGGGTGATGCACGAGAGTGGATAAAACTAGTTCTGCCACTTCTCTGTTCCAAAAATCCTTTTACTGTAAAGCATAAGGAAGTTTGTCCACTAGAAAAATTTAAATCAAATATTCAGGAGGTAATGACAGATCCTGTGCTTGGAGACTCTGTTCTGGACTGTGGGCTTTTGGTCTGTTTATACATATTCTTGTGTATGTAGAGGCAACCTGGAAATTTTAGATCCCAATAAAATGGGAGAATAAAAGGGAAACAGAGACAGCATTACCATCACCTGGATGCCCCACTGCTCCTTTTGATGTTAATGTCCTAGCACACTAATCGATGAACCCACTCTCTGTATGTGAATTGGTGAAAACATTTGAATCCAATGAAAACTAGAGTTTTGCTAATAAGATAGAGGGTATCTGAACCAGTAAGCTGTTAAATGTGATATTCAAAATAATGGCACAAGGTGTTGCTGTATCAGAAACTGATGCCACAACTCTTTTCCTACTGCTGCATGTTGTATATCCTGGACCTGCCATGGGAACAGAAGTGTGGCAGGTATTTGCTAATATCTATGTTTGGTAATACTGTACAGAAAGAGAAGAATAGTTTGGCTGAGATTACTCTCTCAGATAATGTATTGATTGATGATAGTTTACTATGAATCCAGGAAGTTTCAAATTTAGATCTTTCTCCTACCAATATTTCAGAGAGTCATTATTCCCTCTTGTTCTCACCACCATAACTTGGTTTTTGTGATGACTGATCCTGTTTCTAGTGACGCACAGGCCCAAAGAACTCAGCAACTACTACTGTTTCCTTTAGACAGTTTCTGCTTCCTTTAACTAACTGAGTTTAATTAACTGAGCTTGATATCAGCAACTGATAATGTGTTTCATCACACAGAATTTTTTTGTTTGTTTGTTTTATTGAAAGTATACATATAAACAAACATTATGTATAAACAGTCTATAAAAATGTCCATTTGGAAGAATCTTATGGATAAGAATGTGAGTTACTAAATGATGATACACTTTGTACAAGGTTAGAAGTGAAATAAGCCGTGGGGTGAGAGAAGGATGGAGGTTGGAAGGAAACTTTGGGGTGTCTAGTCCAACCTCGAAACCTCCAAGGATGGAGATTCAACAACTTTTGAACACCTCTTTTAAGGCTACATCACTGCCACAGTGATTTCTTTTTCTTTTTATTCCCCTGATAATAAGGTTGTCTGGATGGCCCAGCTTGTCTTCCCAACATCTACCCTTCATTTCTTGAGTTTGTACTCATAAAGGGAGAAGCAATTATAGGTGGTTTAAACCCAGCAAGTGTCCTCTGTCAGACTTTGACTTACTGAGCACCCTGTTAGGGCTGATGCCCTGTAAGTATGGTGTGATGAGCTGAGGCCATGGGTTTGGCTGCTGCTGCTGCTCTGCCTTCCTCCCCCTGCAACAACAGGTCTGCTACACATCTGTGTTGTGTCCCATGGGGCTTCTCACAGTGTGTTTGTTTTACAGGACTGTAGGGCTAGGCCGACAACTAATACATTCTCTTAGCCTTTTACAGCTTATTACAACATGTAAGAAATACATTTCCAGTTTTTCTATCTGGGTTCTTTTAGGTTAAGGGCTATTTCAATCATTGTTCCAGATTTTAGACATTCTACCTTTTTTTTTCTAAATTTTTTTTTCCCCTTTCTGTCTTACAGTAAGGATGCCTTACCCACTTATTTTTGGGATAGTTCCTGTAAAAGCACACAAGTTGCCTTTTGGCTGCCTCTTGGTACAAAAGGAGCAAGTCAGGCACTTTTGTGCTGACCCAGCATTTCATGTTGTCTTTCATGGTAAAAGCTTGATTCAGCCCTTGGAGCTTGTTTTACTTGTGATCACAGGGATATGGATTTTTAATTCTTCCCTGTCTTTCCTAAGTAGCCACAAAAGCCCCCAAAATATTGAGTGTGGTCTGCATAGTATTTTTTAGTTAATAAAAAAAAAAAAGTTTTTAGGCATTTGTTCTTTAATTCTAGGTAATCTTCTCTGTTTTGGATAGATTCTTTAAATAAACTTCTTTGTATATGTGTGATTTTATGTGTATGTGTAAGTACCTGTGCATATATCTTTAAGTGTCTTTGTACAAATAGCTAGATATACACAAATGCTCCAATTCTTCTGTCACCATCATTTATGCCTATAATACTATTTATTTTGAGGGAATATTATGCTTGACTTTAGCATAACAATCTTGTGCAAAGACTTTTCTGTCTTTCAAAACTGTTTTTCCTGTTTGTTCCCGTATTTGAATTTGATTCCCTCAGCATCTCCCTTTCTTCT